ATAAAAGCTTTTATTTTCCCCAAGATATGTTTTTGTTCGTTTTTTGATGAAAGGTGATAAAAACAGGTTTTCAGGTGATACACACAGACACACACACACACTATAATTAATTACACACCCACCTTGTGTCTCCTCCAGTTTACGTCCCCACCACCAGGCCTGGAGGGCAACAAGCCCAGTGAGTCGCTAGCTAATTAGCTAATAACCTGCAAATCAAATTGGCGGCCGGCGGCCCCTTTGAAGGCTCGGGATGGGGTCCATTAGCATCAGCGACTGTCGTCAGAGCTCTGATCCGGCTAATATTCGACCAAAGAGCTCCTCGTTTCTCATCCAGCCTTGCACCTTTATCTATTCACAGGCCCTGCTGATAACAGCCCTTCTGTCTGAAATGAAGCGTCCATTTAAATGTTTACAGTAAATGAGCCAACTCGAGCAAACACACAATGACACACACACACAATGACACACACACACAATGACACACACACACACACACACTCCCTTTAATAGTACAGAGCTCTCCTCGCCTCCCCAATTAGGCCTCTAATTTGGCTAATGGAGCATTAATGGAGAAAGAGGCTGCTGAAGACCCGAGCTCAGCACAATGTCCTCCAAACCAACACACAAACACACACCGACAACACGCACACACACAGATTAGATTTCACTAACAATACAGCAGAATGCCCCTCCCTGGAGACACACAACGTTAAAATCATACAAACACAAGCTGCTCAGTGCTGGACACAAAAACCCTAAATTACTGACTTTAAACTCTTTAAATAGACTTAATTTAATAAAATAAACATTTAAAAGAATTGCTGAAGCACCTGGATTTGTTATAAACTTCACCTGTCTTATATATAACACAGCAGGGAGGGATTTTTGAGCCACTAAATGAAACAACATTAAGTTAATGTTCCTCTTCTAAAGGCTAAATGATTAAACAGACCACATAAAGGTTTAAATTTAGACTTTAACTACTTCAAACATAAACTTCAGAAGACCGAAACTGACATAATTAAAATTAAATGGCCCAATAAATAAAGAAATACACTTAAAATGCAACAATAAATTTAAAAAATGAGAACTTTACCTTAATTGTTCTTCATATTTAGTTTTCAAGCCTAGTTCCAACAAATAAGAACATAATTAAAATTTTACCATTTTAAAAATATGTACAGTATTTTTGTGTTTTTGCTCTTGATGCATGTATCTTCATTTTTTATTGAAATTCTTTTATTTGTTTTTTCCCCACAATCTTCTTATTTTCCTTGTGTATTTCTGCCTCATTATGCAAATAAAGTGGGCGGTGCTTCTTCGATCAGCTCCTCTCCTATTGGCCAACAGACAGGAAGGAGCTTTGCAACTTTTTCTTCTTACTTGTTGGTAAATAATTGATAATAATCCAATATTTTCAAAAGTTGGAATAAAATGTAAAATAAAAAATTGCTGTTGTAAACTTGACAATACTTTAAAAACAATAATTTAAAATACTTATAGCTTAGAAAGTAAAAGCATGATCCAAAAAAAAAAAAATCCACAAAAGTAATGACAAGTAAATCTATACTTTCCAACTTTTTGTATGATAATTTATTGATTCTCAGCTACCACCACACTAAATCTTACCTTATTATCTGTAAAAGAAAAAAAAAAACGATGTGGGAGTTTGCTAAGATCTGTTAACTCTGTGGGCTTGACTTTAATGAGATGTCTAAAAGTAAATTGTCTCAGACAAAACAAAGACTAATAAACTAGTTACTCATTAATAAGCTGAGATTAAGTTTAAACATCAAACACATTCATGAAGGACAACTTTTATTTGTGTTTAGAGAAATATTTCTTTAACAGTGTTGAAATAATCCATTTTTAAAGGGATCCCCGACTAGTTGTAATATTAGACTTTATTTGATAAACATGTATTTTAACTGTAAAATAAAGACTGTAAAAATACTGTAGGCTGTTTAGTTTTGTACATTTT